CGACCAGACGAAGACGAAGGAGTTTATACACTAAAATCGGATCATTTGATTCTCGATACACCATCAATAAGTATTGTTCCTGAAGAAAAGAAACCTCAAAATGAAACTGTAACAATAGAAGAAGAAGAAGAAACTATCACGATTACACCAGAACAACAAAAGCCAGAAACTAGCGTTCAAGAAACAGAGACCGTAGAAACTGTTGTCGAAGTTGAACAGGTTAGATTTCATACACGAAAACATAAATCCAACAATGATTATAGAATCTTGTTCGTCATAGAGGTTCCTATTATTTTCTGTTTTTTTTAGCCTAAAACAATTCAACAAGAAATGCCAGAACATGAGGTTGAAGAAAATACTACAGTTACATTAACAATCGAAAAACCTCAACAAACCGCAACAAATGATGTTCATCTATTTAAAGATGGTCAAGAAGTTAAACCATCTGAACATATTCAATTAACATCGACGTCACCCACAACAACTGAAGTTCAAATTATTAAAGCTAAACCAGAAGATGAAGGAGAATATACTGTAGTCATTGATAATAAAGAACAACCATTGATGAAACTTAAAGTTCATCCAAAACCTGTTGTTCGACAACAGATGCAATTACCAAAAACACAATTCAATGAAAAAGAAACTCTCACGATTGTTTGTCAATTTGATGCAACACCTGAAGAACCATTCATTCTTCTTCACAACGATAAACCAATTGTTGCAGATTCTCGTATAACTACTACTGTTGAAGACAATAAATACACAATAGTAGTCAAAGATCTTCGACCAGAAGAAGATGAAGGAGTTTATACACTAAAATCAGATCATTTAATTCTTGATACACCATCAATAAGTATCGTTCCTGAAGAAAAGAAACCACAAACTGAAACTGAAATAGTCGAGGAAGAAGAAACAGTGACTGTTACAGTGAACCAACCAGAAACCAAAGAAGTTATCGAAGAAGTTATTGAAGAAATAAAACAGGTAAGTTTTTATCCTCATCTCCATGGTCATTTTTGATCATTTATACGAATCACGTAATTATGCACGTATCGAATTTGGACTATTTTGCTTATTTATAGGAACCAAAGAAGAAGCCAGAAATGCCTATACAGGAAGTCGAAGAAATGAGTACAGTTACTTTAACTATCGAGAAACCACAAAATACAACAACAAAAGATGTTGTCTTACTTAAAAATGGAGAGCAACTGAAACCTTCCGATCATGTTAAAATAAAATCAATATCACCCACAACAAC